CAAGTGAAAGGAGAAGGTCACCAATTCTACATCAGAAAGCGAAATAGATTAGTTGAAGAGTTTCCAGCACGAAATCTCCAAGAAGAAGCACGGAACGACGCGAGAGAGCGAAAAACGAACCCAAATACTGAAAAGCTTCCAGAGAACCCAGCTATTCGAGCGAAGGGTTTGGAAGAATGTGTGAGAAGAGTAGTGTTCTGAATTACACAAACGTGGGTTGTGAATCAGAGTGTACCCCGATCAGCAACGACTGTTCAAACAGCTCTTCACCTCTTCCATCCTAATTGTTGGGCATCACAATGCAGCAAAACATGCTCTACTGTATTTTCTAACCATTTCTTTAATTATGCACCAATAAAAACGTAGATAGAAACATATTCAAACTCTCATACGCTATCTTATCTAGTCGTACTTTTCACCACAACCAGTCATAGAGACTGAGCTTGCCAAAGTTTCCGTGAAAAAAAAACACTACGAGGAAGTGTCAGGACGCGATCCCCTCCAAGTTACACAACTGAAAGGATAAAGTCTTTGCCGTTAAACAATCCCTTTGGGAGATGCGACACGCATTTTACTTCCACTCAAAATCGTAGTAGCTTATGTCCATACAACAACATGAGGGGACCAGCCTATGTACGAGTCAGTGTTCTTATCCTCGCAGACCGGGGATTTGAACCCAGGACCGTGCGAGTGGTAAACGCGCCTTCTGCCACTATACCACCTTCGCCTCACATAACACAGTAGGTGGTACTTCAAAATGCGCTGATCTCGACTCTTTACATCTAACCGTCGTTTCCGAGTCTTGAGCTCCTTGTGTGTTTTTGAATAATGATAAAACTAATGAACTAAACTAGATGGAGCTTCCGACTTTGTTCAACAATTTCTAGAAAGCACCACTCGTTAGATTTTTATTCAAAGTTGTGGCTTTAGAGTGCTGTTCCACCTAAACCGCCTGTGAGGACAGCCGATGTACAAGTAGATTTTTTGAGCCCGCAAAGGAATCTGACACTAGTTTGTCAGTCCGGAGATATAGAAACTTTCAGTTAGTCCGGGCTGAGGCGATACCTGATCTGACCCATGCATTGCCCGTTACTACCTCTGCTCCTTGGATCAATCACCATTCTACGTTCGTAACCGAAACTCAGAAAGAATGATTTCATAAGAAATGATCGCACCAATGGGACAATGGGAAAAAAAAAAAACAGCCCCTCTTCAACACTCTCCTTACCATGGCGTCTGCGCCAAATCTCCTTACACAACAACTGCTTGAAAAGTATAACAAGAGGAAAAATGAAAGTCATGACGACTTGTAACATCAGTGTGAGGTCATTAAAGAGCCGCTTTCTTTCAAAAAAATAACTAGCGTATCCTTGGAAAAATAAGCCAATAAAAAGCAACTAATGGCAAGCGTCTCACACAGCTTGAACTTTCCGTCCAAATGATAAAGAAAGTGGCTGATTCAGGGAATTCTAAGTAGTAATTCTTTTACCAGCATAGCACAAAAGGCAAAATTACCTGTAGCACTAGTTTTCGATGAATACTATCGTATTGCGGCCCGGATGAATGCCCATATGAGAGAGAGAGAGAGAGAGAGAGAGAAGAGAGAAGGCAACAGAAGAGCATGCATCGAACATTTAGAAAGTAGGAAAATACTGTAAATAGTTGAAAAAAGCAAATAGAGTAAATAACAAGCAATTACAAAAAAAATCGCTGATGAACTTCACATACTCGTTTTCACTAAATTCTTCAAGAGTCTACACTAAATCTGACATTGTAAACAAGAAATAATAAACAAAAACATACCTTGGCAGGTTGGGCTTTCTCTCGTTGATTCGTTCGATCGGATTTTGATGACGACGGCACTTCCTTCTCTTTCCGATCTTTTTTCGCTGTTTTCCCACGTTTCTCTGAATATTAACGATAATACTATCTATTATCTTTGTAGTGCATGAACCGACAAGAAAACATGAATGCAAAGAAATACAAAATAGATAAAATGCGTTAGGTGAGCGATGGGCAATAAAATTATGTACTGCGTGAAGTTACCACCAGTTTCTAGCTTCGCATAAATTCTTACCTTCCAGTAGTCATGTAGTACCTAATTCGCTCTAATTTGCTACCATGTTGGCTTCAAATTGTGGCGAAAAGGTCTTAGAGAGCTCAAGAAGTTTCAGCGCTGATAAACTAATTTTGAACTGTGCTAGACATCATACTCCCATTCAGTGGATTCTGAAGGCCAGACAGGGCACACATACGAGACAAGTGACGCGGGGCAACTGATGTACAACAGACTTTCCTTTTGCTCTCAGACGAGACCAATTTGCTTGTTTTAGAAGGACGGTACGCTTGTTTGGGCGGTGGTGGAGCCAGCAAAGGAGATAATCACGCGTAAAGTTTTTCTCGAAGGATCCTTTCCTCTCTTACCAAATGTACGACATAATGGTAAGCTCGGAAACCCTCCCTCCTCCCCTTACTAGATTTTTGTCGGTGTGTCCGTGACCTGACCAGAACGGCTTTTCCTTCATGTGAGAATTCGAAACGTTCAGCTAGACGATCCCATCCCTATGAGCCTTCCTCACCGCTTTTGTCGTCCCGCCATCTTGTCCCCTTCTCTTTGTCCTCCTGAACATCGAAGTCACTCCTCATCTACGCCCAGTTCACTGTGTTAATTATACTCCCTCCTCTCAATAAATCAATTGCTCTGAGTCATCTTTCATCCAGCTTTTTCTATGAATATTCCTGCAGTTATCGCCCAAAAGTTTTGACCGAACTCGTTCTGCCACATTTGTACGCTTCTAATTTTCTGACGTTCACAAGTTCTATAGCTCCATTTTTTTGAGAAAATAAAAAAGCGAAAAAACGATGATGCGAGGAACAGCACAGAAGTTCCCCTAAACCACTTGATCTTCAATTACTTAGTTTTTGAACAACAACAAGAAATAGAAAGGGAAAAAAAGGCTAAATCGAATAATCAATTAATAAAAAGAACATTATTCAGCCTTTTGTGGTCCAGGTTGAGTGCGAATGAAACTCTCTAAGTCTTTTAGTTCTCGCGCGGCACGTTTCGGGCCTTAAGCCCTTCTTCAGGCTACAAATATCATATAATTACAAAGCCTACACCAACAATCCTACTATTACACATGCATCGCAAGATATTCGAAGAGGGAAAGCAATGAAATTTATTAACAACTGACCAAAATCCCCCCCCCCCCCCCCCCCCCCCCCCCCCCCCCCCCCCCCCCCCCCCCCCCCCCCCCCCCCCCCCCCCCCCCCCCCCCCCCCCCCCCCCCCCCCCCGTGGTTTTTTAAAAAACCAAAAAAGGGGGGGGGGCGGGGGGGCGGGGGGGGGGGGGCGGGGGCCCGGAGGGGGGGCGGGGCGCGGCCCGGGCGGGCGGGGGGTCGGGGGCGGGGGCCGGGGCGCGGGGCGGGGGCAGGGGGGCGGGGGCGCGGGGGGGGGGTACGGCCTGGGTTGGAGTGGGTCCGGGATGGAGTGGTCGGGAGTTTGCTGCAAGATGGTTGAATGATGGACGAGAACAAGGAGTACGCGACATTGACTCACCTCCCCAGCTGTCCTTTCCTATAGAAATGAGACAGCCAGAAAGGCGAAGCAGTGGGATGGTGATACACTGATATTTGTCATATGTCACGTATCACCAGTGATGTCACATCATGGTGCAGCAATGAGCTCCATTGTCCTTCTTAACTCCTCCCTGTTGTTGAGCGGTGGGTTCCTTCTTCGAATTTCCAACGCCTCCTTTATTTTCCTTTCCACCGGGTCACATATGTTCCTGTGGATTACGCGCACCCTGAGTTCAGGGGCACGTTCGTTCGTGTGCCGCGAGGAACGGTGTCTCGAGAAGGGATTATCCGGATAGCTGGCTGGGTTCCGGAAAGCCCTTAATGTTCATTCAAGCCTCTGTGGAGAGTGGTCGTGCAGTTTCGCCAATGTAGAATTCCGAGCATGACGCACACTCCACTTCGTACACGGTATTCATTAAGAGGCAGATCTTCCGTTCATCCTGACAGTACTCACAGTTTTCGCGGCCACATCGGTCTTCGTATATTCGTGACGACGTGAGGAGACGACGTAATGTTGGCGGTGGTCGAAATATCAGGCGGATTGGCATCCCCGACCTCTTTATAACACGATTTACATCCTTTGCAAAAGAGTCTGAGAGGTAAGGAATTATGAGTGGGACGCCTCCTGGTGCCTGATATGGGCGCCAGCAATTTACGCGTCTGCTTCCATAGCCGTTTTCTTGAAGTACACGCGTCACTGTATCCATCACTACAGGAACATTTGTGGACGTCAACCTTCGAGCTGTTGTCAAGGCATTCTGAACGATATTCCTCTTCATGTAAAGAGGGTCGCGCAGTCTCTCGAGTCGGACCTCAGGATGTTCTTCGAAGCAGGCTTTTATGCCCACATGGAAAAAAAAAAAAAAAAAAAATACAAGATTTCCTTCGACAGTTTCACTTTAGTGTTCAAGAAGGGCAGGAAACCGTCGTGTTCAGGCTCCTCGACAGTCAGTGCAATGGTTGGGTGCACTGAGTTCAGCTTCAAGAAGGTTCGACGTAATGCTGTTCTGGACTTCGCTACGACAAATATGTCGTCTATGTAACGACCGTAGAACAGCAAGTCCCGATGATAGCGAACGCCTTTCCAAACGATCCATGAATAGGATTGCGAGAAGCGGTGCGATTCGACTGCCCATGGCTAGTCACGCGTTTGCATATAATTCCTTACCTCTCAGACTCTTTTGCAAAAGGATTGTAAATCTGTTATAAAGGGTCGGGGATGCCAATCCGCCTGATATTTCGACCACCGCCAACATTACGTCGTCTCCTCACGTCGTCACGAATATACGAAGACCGATGTGGCCGCGAAAACTGTGAGTACTGTCAGGATGAACGGAAGATCTGCCTCTTAATGAATACCGTGTACGAAGTGGAGTGTGCGTCATGCTCGGAATTCTACATTGGCGAAACTGGACGACCACTCCACAAGAGGCTTGATGAACATCTAAGGGCTTTCCGGAACCCAGCCAGCTATCCGGATAATCCCTTCTCGAGACACCGTTCCTCGCGGCACACGAACGAACGTGCCCCTGAACTCAGGGTGCGCGTAATCCACAGGAACATATGTGACCCGGTGGAGAGGAAAATAAAGGAGGCGTTGGAAATTCGAAGAAGGAACCCACCGATCAACAACAGGGAGGAGTTAAGAAGGACAATGGAGCTCATTGCTGCACCATGATGTGACATCACTGGTGATACGTGACATATGACAAATATCAGTGTATCACCATCCCACTGCTTCGCCTTTCTGGCTGTCTCATTTCTATAGGAAAGGACAGCTGGGGAGGTGAGTCAATGTCGCGTACTCCTTGTTCTCGTCCATCATTCAACCATCTTGCAGCAAACTCCCGACCACTCCATCCCGGACCCACTCCAACCCAGGCCGTACCCCTGTAGGAAGTTGGTCAGTTGTTAATTAAATTTCATTGCTTTCCCTCTTCTCGAATATCTTGCGATGCATGTGTAATAGTAGGATTGTTGGTGTAGGCTTTGTAATATATGATATTTGTAGCCTGAAGAAGGGCTTAAGGCCCGAAACGTCGCCGAGAAATAAAAGACTTAGAAGAGTTTCATTCCATCAACCCAAAAGAAACTAAAGACAATGAACTCGAGAAGAACCCTTTAATATACGAAGATTATACTCAGCCATAAAAGGAAGAAGCAAAATGGCTGTATTCAACCGGAAATCTGCTTCGAACACGTTCATAATTCGCGTCCCGATCGATTAGATCGCGATGAAAGCGACCGGATCGCGAAGTATGAACGCTGTTTGAAGAATTGTAGCACCGTGCTTTAGCGCACACCAAATAAACTAATATGTCAACAAGTAAATAAACAGTTGAGTAACAGTTAAATAGAGCGAACCTCACCAGCGAGCGAGAGGAATGCCAAAATAAAACAACAATAATAACTGTAATAATAATAATAATAATAATAATAATAATAATAATAATAATAATAATAATAATAATAATAATAATAATAATAATAATAATAATAATAATAACTAAACAAGTGAATACATGAATAACCCACCTTGGACTTCCTCCGGTCGATGCTTATTTATCTTTTCGAAAACAAAAGCAGCCTGTTGCGCGGCAAGATCCCGTGCCGCAAAGGCCGCACTTTGGAAACATATTAAATGGGCGTTTAGCTGCAATAAATAAAATAATTTACGCAAAAAACAGAAGCTATGTCGAAACAGAAAAAAAACCCACCATGTCACTCGCCCTTCGCCGTTCTTGTTTTAATTCTTCTGGCTCAGGCTCAGTAGAGGGACCAGGGGCTAGAGCCGCCAACGACGATATTAGACTGTCTATTCGTTCCAGAAGTTTATTTTGAATATCAACAATGTTCTGCCGATAATGATACTGAGCGCTGAAAGAAACGGAGGCTTTCATATGGATCAAATGCAATTAAACATTACAAATAAATATATCTCCCACCGGGACAGGGCAAAAGTCCAGAAACAATGGTTCTTATGGTACCTTGGCAACGTTTCACGAGAAAAGATAAGGTATTTACCACCAGCTTTGTCTTTCGAAAAAAAAAAGAATTGAAGAGCGGGCTTTTCTGACCCCTATTATGCTTCGCACCTTTCAGCAATCACATGGTCAAGCGCATGCTCAATTGCTACGAGAGGAAATAATCGCTACTATTTTTTATTCGTATTTACTCATAGTCATATTTTTTCATATCGTACATATTTTCATATTTTACATAGACCGTTCATGATGAAAGACAAACTGTACATTCACCTCCGAGAAGGTCCTTGTCATGTGCGAGGTGAATCGGTCCGCTCAAAAAAGCACGTAAAGGCGCTGTAGGGCGGTGGAACAAGACTGCCGTCTCCATACTCCGCCTGCGCTGCTGTGCGTCGGTTACAAGACATATGTCAACCGGATGCTCTCTCGCTGTGAGGGTCCAGAGGTGCTTTCTCATCGCATCTTCTGTTCGAGCATTTAGAGGAAAATAAGGAAGAAGGATGATAGAAGTAAGGAAGAAAAGGAAAGAGGAAGGAGGAGGAAGGCTGTACGGTTGACCCTGGGACCTGTGCGTCTATACAAAGGTCCCACAGCGAAATACTCACACTGTGGTGGAGAACAACCAGAGGTGAGAGAACACGCACAAGTAGCGTGTCTGGCTATAGCTAGGCGCCTGGCTGGGTGTACGGCAACGCGGGCGGAGTATGGAGGCTGTGGACTCCTTTCCCCCTACCCTATCACCCCTCCCCCCAGCACGGCAAAGGACCAAGATCCACGGAGGTAAGTAAGGGCAGTTTGAACAGCATTCCGGAGCGCTCAACTTCAACTGCAAGAATAGAAGTCTTTGAGAGATTCGTTGTAAGCGGTATATGAGCTCGAGGATGGGGGGGGGGCTATAGCAAACTGTTAAGCTTCTACCCAGAGGCAGCCGCAAAACGAAACTGAACTAATCCTCGACCCCCTCCCCTTTCACCTTGAAATCACGTTGAATATCTATTATTTACTAACTGCTGGTAAATAATCGATGAGAATTCCCCTAAATCATAATAATTCACACTATGCAAATTGAAAACCATCAAACACTGTTGCCTTCATAGAACAAGTTTTCGAATTTTATTAGAGAAGTTTGGCGCTCTCGAATCAGCATGGCTTTTTCGGCTTCGTTATAATTCTTGAATGGAGCATTTTGTAGTAAAGGAATGCATGAAAAAGTGAAAAGCCATATGAGAAAAAGTCGGTAAAGGGAGTAAATAAAAACATCATGGCCCATATCGCTTACTTTATGAACCGTTCTCAAGAGAAAAATTAAAAAAAACACTATTTTACATAATGAAAATCAAAAATAGAGAGCAACTGAGGTAGAAAACCACGAGAGAAGCAAGAGGCATCCACTAACTTAGTTGAAATAGGAGTGAAACAACCCGAGAAGACTTTTGAAAGGAAAGGTTTCAATTTCAACTGTTAACTGCCAACATAGTAGAAGCCACACCCATTATCTGTCACAAATACTGCTCATTTCTGGAAAGTTCGAAAGAAAACATAGAAAACACCAGACAGTAACTTATTTGTCGGTCGGGCAGTCGTTGAGCGTGAGAGACTGAGATGAAAGCACAAAACAGGGGTATTAAGCTGAACGTACCCATGTTCGTCTCTCTTAGGAACACGGCATTATTAATGAAACGTAAATTGTTTTCTTAATATCTGAGAAAACTTCATGGTGGCCTGCCCTGTGTCTCTGTTTATTCCAACAGAGCACAACATGTCCCTCAGAAACTCTGGTATGCCCAACATCCCCTCTATTATCATCTTACTGACTTTCTAAAACTTCCTACCACTTTTTCCAGTTTTCCGAAAAAGTCGAGCATGGAGGGGGGGGGTCGTATTCACATACACATGAAAACAGAAAAGCAGTGAAAAGTCAAAAACCAGAAAAAGCTTCTTGGGGCCAGATATGACTTCCCTTTCGGAACGATAAGAAAACGCGAGCCTCTCCCCCCTTATGAGTCCAAATCCTAACGATTTGGATAGTGTACATGAAAAAGGAAAAATTGAAATCAAGAAATAATTTCTTGCCAATTACGGCCCTACCCCCCCCCCTCACTTCGAATAGCGTGCCCTGTTTCCACGTGCTTGTATTGCTTCGTATGGACAACAACGTGTTTAACTACTTAACTCGAAGTATTTGCGTTTCCGTCACAAAACACCTTAAAAAGGATAAACAAAATTCCTTAAAGAGGATAAACGGTATTTAAATACGTACTAAAATAATCGCAAATTCCTTATAAACGCGGTTTTGCCTCAGGGTCGGGTCTAATAAAAGGTTCCACCATAGAAACCTTGGACATACAAAAAGACCACATTCTGGAACTACATAAAGAAATACACTCCATATCCTGGAGAAGGGCGTGGTTGCGTGCTCCACTCGAAAATGGCGATGCCAGCGTTCCTATTGGTGAAATTTCGTTTTGGGACAAATGTAACAGTATCCTTTTCCAGAAAAGTACGATGACATTGGAGATGTCATTTGAAAGCATCCTATGCTTCATTCAAATGAAGTACGCAGCCACGCCCTCCCCATCTCTAGGATATGGAGCTTATTTAGAACGAGTACATATGAGTTGGTGGAACTTGTCCTGAGAATCGCAGGCTACCTATGAGTCATAAATCTGCGGTGTGAAACGTGAAGGTTCACTGGCGTTTGTCTTGAAAACAAATCATAAAATGAAATATCCAACCCACTTTCTGTCAAACTCGTTGAGAAGATCCAAAGCTTCAGCTATACGCTCAGCTTTTGTCTTCTTTGGACGACTCGTGGTGGGGTTTGTAGCCGTAGTGGCCGACGCTGACGATGTACTTGGCCTGTCAGCCTCATCATATAATTCCCGATTTCCCGAACTCGTAGCGTCGTTGTTCACTTTTAGGCTGGCTTTCGATGGTTTAGACGGTGCCGGCGTATCAGCAGACGCCGGCATGAATTGGTTCGAGAGAACGCGCAGCGGCCGACGCGACAGCCTGATCAAGTACTCACTGAAAAAAAAGAGCAGACGTAGATCTTGCCATGAAACCAGTAGCGAATGCGCGCGGTTTCAGGAGGCCACGGAGAGACAGAAACACTTTGGACGAAGCGAAATTCTACGCTCGAAAAAACCGTTCCGGAAATATTCCACGATCGCGAAATAGAAAGTGATTATTCGTGAAACTATTGCGGATTATGATGCAATATGGGCGACATCAGAACAAACATCTCTGAAAGGCCTATCCTAAGGGCGAACGATACACTTAAGGCATACAATCGATCCAAAAGTGTTCAAAAATGTTTAAGTGAAAGTCTCTGAACGTGACGTCAAAATACGAAAAACGGATTTTCGGTTTTGTCGCAAACAATTCCGATCCAAAAAGCAACCATGACCTCTATGGACGACAAAAGTGATTACATAAACATTTTTGAAGTCGAATATGCGTCATACATCGCATAATTGCGCTCGAGAGATTTGGACTGAATTGCGCCAAAGTCCAGAAAAGCCTGGCCTTCAACGGTTTTTTCAGTGGGTTTTTTGGAGGAATGAGATGAATTTGATAGGAAGAGGTAGGATGAATGTTTGAAAACAATAAATCCTCATAAGAAACAAAATCTGACAATACAGTGCCTCACGGAGAGGCACGCGAAAACGGCGTCCCTGCCAGCCTTCTCTTCGTCTCTGACCAACGTGCCCGCTCGTCTCTCTGTGCCCTCTGTCCCCTCGTGTGCTGTCTCGTCATGCGGCACTCTGCTTCTCGTGCACTCCCGCTTGTTGGCCGATCACCTCCAACGCTCCCCACAACTCCCATATCGTTGGTTTCAGAATCCCATTCGCCCCAATCTCCGTAACAGTTGACGGCTAGCGTTTCCGGGCACGTGTGTCGACCCAGCACTTCACCGTGTCTCACTTGGTCACGTGGGTTCATGCGGGGATACTTGGCGCGTTTGTGTTCCTTCTTGGGAATTCTATCGATAATGTACCCGAGGTCAGGTGCGGATGGACACAGCCATCATTCACGGTTTGCCACCTGGATGACACAGACCGGTCTATCGTCCACTGGGGACCTCAGAAAGCGGTCAACTCGTCCGATCCTAAGGCTCCTTAGACTCATCCTTCAAATGTTCGATGGCTGTTGGGTTTTTGAGCTTGTCTCTCTCTGCCTTTTAATGGCCACTTTCTTCCGTCATTATACCCGTCACATCCCAATGAACACAACGGCTCCATGGCTTGTTTCATCATGCAGGTCCGAGAAGCTGCTTCTCAGCTGGGCCCCTCTCCCCATGCACTTCTCAATGAATATCGATTCCACGCGCGTAAGATCGATACCCGCCACAAATTGTGCTCCCAAGACGGTCCATAACTTGAAGAGTTCTGAGTGGTATTCTTTAATTCCTCTATCTCGGGCTTCAGTTTCTCAAAAGGTTTCAGGAACGACCCTCAGTGTTATTGATTGTGTGCGCGTAAAATCAATACTCTTTGTCATCCAAGCGCTGTTGGTTCTCTTCAAAGTGTCTGAAGCGGTTGAGTCGGAAGCTTTCTCAAACCCTCTATTTCCAGTTCCAGTGCTTTGAAAGATACTAGCAATGCGCAATTCTAGTGAGTCATTATCGCCGTGAGCGTCAAATCAATACTCTTTCGTATCGAGCATTGCTGTGACTCCCCATGAAATGTAATCAGCAGATTTCTTGAACCCTCTATTTCTGGCATCAGTTTTTCGACTAATTTTGCAAATGTCACTTTGAGAATATCGATCATGGGCGCGTAAAATCAATACTTCTTTGTATCTAGGCGCTGTTGCAGTTATCCTTGAGGTGTGAAGAATGAGTCCTCGAGGTTTAGGAATCAACAACTCTCAACTTCCTACTCTGCTATTCTGTCCATCCTTGACCGCAAGTT